AAAAGTTTAAATATTTATATATAATACTGATTAATCTGTATGATGATGTTGTTTCATGTGCTGACTGAACCGTTCCACACAATCCTGTTGGAAATCGCGATCACAGGACTCTGTGTATGCGAATCGATATAAAACCTTCAAATTTGGATTTTAATGTTTTGCAATGTGGAAAAAGTAAGTTCTTACCACAAAAACTAAAACATGCATAAATAGTAGATAGAAGAAGAACATAAGTCGTGCCGAACTGGATGACAAGATGGCTTTACCCTAAAACCAAGTTTGCCATCATATCCAGTTATCACACAATAGCTTACTATGCTCAGTGATGCTCTATCGTGAATTTTAAGCTTTGTGTAGCTTCTTTGATTTTCTTGTTGTCGGAATTTTCGGAATGGATCAAGTTTCCTCTCATACTGATCATTGTAATTGGTAGATGTATCTAATGAAATGGCAACGTCTCCTTGTTGACCTCCATTATTTCCTTAAATGGGAAAAAATAGTTTATCAATTGAAGAACTCAAAGAAACGTGCCGTAACATTGTAGAAATTTCACTTTCGCATAAATTTTGACATTGTCTTCTTTGAGTTTTTCGATTTCCGCGCTTAAAACGCTCTGTCTTGTTTTTTCTAAGGCTAAATCCTAGAAGAAGAAGAGTCGGAAAGACAGTGAAATCAGAGACTACCTCTTCCAGTTGATCAACTTTCTGACGATAGCGATCTCTTTGGGCTGTGAGAATTGCAGTTACGCTTCCGTCCTCTTCCGATTTTATAGAAATGCTTTTGTCTAAAGACTCCAACACTTCCAATGTACTCAAGTTTTCATCCTCTTTATTCGGGAGCTGCCAAAAGAGAGACTAATAGAGCTGAAAATGCTGCAAACAAACCGACGAAGAATTATAAGAGAATAGGCTCAGATCCTTCTCAAGTCTAGCAATAAGTTCCTCCTGGCTCGTGCATTTCTCATTGAATTCAGCAATATGTTGTTCCTGCTGTGAAATCGTGTCTACAATAGAATTCAAGTAAGACCGACACCCATATAAGGAGTTAGTTCGCGCGCTTTTTTGATGCGTTGGTCTGAATATCTTGTTAGTTGAGATAAAAAAATATGAGAAGAAAATACATTTCATTGATGAAAAAGCAAAAAAATAAAAAAAAAATAAAAGATTTGAACGAGATTGTGCATCAACCGGCTAGTGAGATCAACAAGTAGTGTTTGTATGAACAAGAGATCAAATTAAAATGAACTAGATTGAAGACAATTGGCAACAAATAAGTGATCATGAGGAAGGTGAGTATAAAATAACTAAATTCAGCTATAAAACTTACAGCTATGTACACCATGGCAAGAGCTCAGCCACAGGCCGACATGACTAGAACAAAGGTCTTTCAGACAAATAAAATAATAAAACATAAAACAATTTTGAAAACAAAGACAAATTTGGACAAATATTTGAAATGTGCTAGGACGATTTGGATGCAGCCAACATCTTCATTTTCGCCACAGCTTTATCTAATTGACTAGGTCGTTCCTTCTCAATTGTATTTTCTAATTCATCACGAATTTCATCGTTGGAGAAGAGAGGGGGGAAAGGCACCATGGTAGGAAGATTAGATTCAAAACCTCCGCTAGAAGCTACTTGATCAAGCATTGTAGCTAAGTCCTAAAATAGGTAATTCACCCAAGGTTAGATTCCCAACAACAATCACGAACACAAGTGAACAAAGACAAACAAACGAAAGTATTACCTGTTGCCAGTTTTTACTCTTAGGAAGAGATGCAACTGCGGAAGAATAAATTTTTCCTTCTTTCAGACTTGCTTTTTGCCTCGTACGGTGATTATGGAACCAATTATTTACAGTTCGGATATTCAAGTTCAATTTTAACGCTAACTGAAAAACAGGACGGATTGAACCTTGAGAGCAACAAAAAATATTCTTACAAGCTCAATAGTTTTCTGACTCGGATGATGCTCGTGTTGAAAAACAAACCGGAGAGCTTCTTTCTGTTGGTCAGTTATCACAGTTCTCTTAATAAGGATAGCTTCATGAGTATCATGATTGGTTCATATAATACCTGAACTTTTCTTGGAATGTGAGTATCAACTACAACATAAGTGGATGATCGTTTACCATTCATATTGATAGGTGTAGTGTCAGGAATCGCAGGAGGTGAGGAAGGCTCCAGCTAAAGTAAAAATTATATTTTCCGAAAAACATCACATTGAATACCTTCTCCTTTGTGAGCAATTTAATTATGGCATCTTTGTCCTCTAAGAAAATTTTCATTTTTAAATAAGGCTCTTTCGCACGACAGTTGAGAGTATTCCAAGGTCGTGGTCGAAGAAATATTTCAGAAGTTCCGCCAGCAGATATTCCCAAAACAGTTTCTCCAAACATCTATTACAACAAAAAATAAATTTGGTGAAAAGAAGATAATATCCTACCCTTTGTGAAATGCCGTGAATATGAAGCCTATCCTTAACTTTCCGTACTAATGAGCCAGTGTCCAAATCATCCGGACCATCAACAAGAGCGGACTGAAGAGAATATTTCATAAAAGGATGGAAAAGATGTACTGACTTGATCAGAAGGTGAGCAGGGGCTGTCCTCTCTTTTTTCAAGATCTAAAGGTGTTCTTGTTATAATTGCATGCAGCGGATTGTCTTTGGGAGAAGCTGGAAATAAATAAATCATGAAGCACTATGGGTGGAAAAACATACGAGATCTCTCATCTAACACAATGATCTCATCGTTCGATTCTACTGAAGATTCCTTTTCACAGAATTCACTGGACTCTCGAGATCGTTCAGCAGTCAATGCAACTTCTTGCATGAACAACTTCATACGAATGAAAGGTTCACGTCCTTTTTGAGTGAGCATATTCCATTGTTTGGGTCTGGCCAAAAGATCAGAGACAGAGCCTTGGCTGAGACCAAGTACATGTTCTCCAAACTGTCGTTGTGATATGGAGTTCATAGAGAGAAAATCTTTGATTTGCCGAACAATATCTTCTGTATCAATATGACCGAACAATTCGAATTCTTCTTGAGTAATAGGTGTTAGACCAGCTTTCATTCTAGCACACATCACCTTAGAATCGAAGATTAATTAAGAACTTTGAAAGAAAGACAAACCTGATGTGCGTGATTAATGGATGCCATGCGTTCACTCTGAGACATTTCATGGTAAGATGAATTAAGATCATCCATCTGTCAAATATAATTTATTAAAATATTTGTCTGGAATACGGAAAACCTTTCTTACATGGCCTCCTGTTATAGTGCGACTAGCTATTGCTCTTTCTAGGTTAGTCTCCTGCTCCCGAAGCTTAGCAAGCTCTGATTGGAAGATGCTCATTATTTTTTCCTTGGGAATGTCATCATGACGCCATCTGCTATTCCTTTGCGAGGATCCTGAGTTAGCTGCCTGTGTGGTTCCCGCCAAACGATACTGCATTTGATAAGAATAGGATAAGATAATTCATTTCATAGGCAAACCTGATCTTCCCGCGCAGATGAAACTCTTTTAATAATTTTATCATCTGGCTCTTCAGGAGGTAGTTTATTACTATTACTTTCCCATAATGATTCACAAGAGGGATGATCAACTTTGACTTCAGAATCTATAAAAATGATTTTTAATTATAATAATCACATTATGATATACCGTTCGGCCAAACTCTTCGTGGGCTCAGAGAACAGAGAGCTTCAATTGCTCCATCATCAGATATCCATCCATATATACGTCGGAAAGCTTCTCTTCCCTGGAACAAATGGATTAGCTAACCAATGTTCAAATTATGAATACCTTATCGGTTAATTTGCTCCAATGTCGAGGTTTAGAAAGTAATTCACTAAGTGATCCCTGAGACTGAAAAACGTATGATTGAGTAAGCAAATCGACATTCAGTATATTTAAACACTGTAAGATTGAAACTAAAATCACAAAAGCAGCATGCAGCGGTACGATGAACAAAAGCGTGAGCATTCACCTTTACTACCTGATTCATGACGTATTTGGCGAAGAGTCGTTGACCAATGTTGTATGCCACCATGAGTCGTTTGCATTGTTTTGCAATTTCGGCAGTGTTTAATGCACGATTTCCTAACGATCTTATATTGGAAGCAACAATGGACTGAAAAAAAGACGATGAAGAGACATCCGGAGAAAGAGTGAAAGAGAGAGAGATAGCAACAGAAATTTTTTTTTTTGCGAAGTAAAATAATGAGAAAGTAACCGTTCTCTGTCTCTCTCATATGAGGAAATGACAAAATAATTAGAAGAAGCTGTTTGGTACGTCAGACAACGTAATGCACGTGAGAAGAGAGCATAGTATAATATGATAATTTATGAATAAATTTGTTTACTTACTTGCAATTCTTGAATAGCTTTGACTTCTTGAGGAGTCTTTGACGGCTCTCCCGAGTAGTTTGTGAGCTTTGGCGAATATCGAAACTGCTCAAATGGTATATCGGATTTTGTAATCGCATCACTATTCTTTCTGGCATTCGAAGATAATGGCGGAGTTGGCTGTCTTCTAGTTGTTCGTAAACTAACAGAATTATTTGATTGTGCCTGAAAGGACAATTATTTAGTATATAACATAGGTGATATATGAAACCATAAGAATTTTAAGAAGATTTGTCTTTTCTTCTTTCTTCGGCTCAATCGTTGTTGTGTCAGAAGTTTGCAATTTGTCTTGAGCTTTTTTAGCTCTTTCAATCTGAAAACATAAGAATTAAAAATGAAAAAAGACGAATAAACAAACTTGTCGATCCAAAGCCGATTCTAAATCAGGATCAACATACTGCTCAACAACTTCTTTTCCGACACGTTTCGAAACAGCTTCAACTACGGAATGATGACTACCGGCCAAAATGGCTTGCATAATATCATCTCCTATAAGCTCGATTTGGTGAAAGAAGATGATGTTGAAGTACCACCATATTCACAACACCACACACAACAAAATAATAATAATACAACATATATATATATATATAAATATATATCAAGCAATCAATACAACATCCTAACAAATTTCTGAAATCGTGCAATTAACAAGAGAAATGATATTCAGACCAACACAGTTGCAAGAAGTTTTTTTTTTTGTTTCGATGTGAAAAAGAAACTTCTGTTTCTAGAGCGCGAGTATTCATGCTTTTCACAATATCAATACAAACCTTTGAACTTATCGTTTGATACCCGAAGCTCTGCATTAGAGTTTTGCAAACGACGATTCTTCTCAGCAAGAAGCTTATCAAGCGTTTGTACCGTCTCCCCAAGTTTCAATATAGAGTCCTCATTAGCGGATGCTGCTTCTCCAAACTCTATTTCTCTCAATAACCTAAACAATACATATAATTATGAGCACTTTCAACTTTTAATGAACCTTAATTCTTTCTTAATTGCATCATAATCTTGTTGATCAATAAGTTTCGACTGCAACTCTTTCATCATATCAGTCTGTCGCTTAACATCCTTCTCAAGATTCTCATACTTCAATTTGAACGATTTACTATCAACTTGGATAGAATCTGACAATCGTAAGTTCTCCGCTTGAAGGCGTGCTATCTTTAATAGAAATGACTAATATTATAATTTTATACACAATTTATCAACCTGGTCATCTTTTTCTTTCATCAAACAGCCAATAACAGCTATATCCTCTAATCCTCCCCGCTTTGAAGCCGTTTGAGCTTCAGCCAGATCATTGGTCAAACGCTCAACTTCACGTTCCAATATGGACTATAACATAATAATTTGTAATAAAAATTGGAAGAACAAACAAACCACTCGACGATTAGCAGATTCTAAATCGCGACTTAAAATTTCTAACTGTTCCGATTCCAACGTTTCTTTTTGATCAGCTCGCATGCGAGCAACATCAAGCTTACGCTGGGCGTCTCTCATTTTTATTTCCAGCTCAGTCACCTAACATCATATAACGTTACTACTTAATGTTCTCATTTTTCTTACCTTTTTCTCCAATAAAACATTTTCATTTTTAAGTTTTTCTGCTCGCATATTCATTTCAAACTCGCGAGCAACAAACTCCTCTTTTAGTTTGCGTTCAGTGTCAGTAATGGATTGCTCGACCTCGTTTGTTTTCTCGCCCTCAAGCTGCTTTATGCGTTCTCGCAACTTACGAATGGTGACATCTACAAACAAAACAGATCGTTTAAATTAAAAACAAAAAAGTCAAAACCAATTTAAAAAATAATACGATTGAGATCATTCAAAAATTTAATGACTAATCACCTTGATTTTGCAAGTCTGCGAACTCCGCGTGTAAATCAGAAATAGAATTTCTCAACTGCTCAGCTTCCTCGATTGCGTTGTTCGTTTTCTCAGCCTGAACTTTCCAAGCTGGAGCTTTCTGTAAGATTGGCAAAGGATCTGCAAGAAAAAATAAGAACTGCTTGAATGATCCACTTGAAGTTAACTGCAAAACAGAAGACAAAAGATAAAAAAAGCAAAGGTCAAAGAGAATCTTGAAATATCACTTTTGAGCTTAGTACTTAGTGGAAGAGCATTCTCTATGTTTGATCGTAGTCTTTGCAACATCTGATGAATGTATTGATCATGTTCCACAACTTTCAGAAGTTTTCAGAATATTATATAAAGCTTATGAACGTTAGAAAAGTGGTTGTACACATCCATCTATTGCAGTATCGAAAATCGAATCTCCCCCTCTGGGAGGCAAAGGAGGCGCGCGATTCATCATCGATCGCCTATGGCTATTGCCATTCTCAGAGAGAAGGAGAAATCAGCAATCCACGCCGAATGAACAACAGGGCTCGAAGCTCAGACATACACAGGCTTGGGTCTATTTCCGAACTGGTCGCTTTGGAGCAAAAAACGAGGACAAAACAACAAAGGACTACGAGAAGAACGATTTTGTCAATTTTCTGAATACAACTAAAGATTTCATGCATTTTTCGTATTTCAGTTTCCATTTTCTACATTTAGAAATCAATTAACTCACATCGTTCCGCTCTCATAAAATCAGCATTTAAAAAGTATCAAAGAGGCAAAAATCTCCAAAAAAATCTCAGAAATTCAAGTGATTCTATGCGATCATGCTCCGAAGTATACGAAGGATTCGAATTCATCCGAAATCTTCTTTCAATTTGTTTGGAATCTTGATAAAAAAACAAAAAAAACAAGAGTCTGTCAGCCTCGTACATGATTTTGCTCATCCACAGAATTTCAATCAACAAACAGAAAAGTTCAAAGTTCCTTGAAAAATCGAAAAAATGAGAGAAACGAAGAATTTGAATATCTGAGGAAAAGTAATTCTGACCGAAAAAGCCCAATCATCAGTATTGGGCTGGCTGTTGGCCATCGATCAGTAGTAACCAAGACTGGCTGGAGCCGTTTATGATCGATCTGGGCGGGACACACAGCCACCGTAGCTTATTGATCCTAGCGATTTGAGCTTCGACAGCCCAAATAAGGAATCGCAAATGAAGATATAAACAATTTTCCAATTTCTTATGAGCACAAAACAACTATAAATCGATCAGCTTTTTTTCTTTCGAGTCGTTGGAGCTGATGGTCTCACCCAAGAATGCCTATTACGCTAAGCAAAATTTCAGAGAACACACACAATTCTTTAGTTGAATGAAAGAGAAAAAGAGGAAAGAGAGAGAGAAAAATATGAGATGGAAAGAGAGAGAGAGAGAGATGGAAAGTGTAAAAACGACTTCAATACTCCTATTAAGTGAAAATCAAATCCGTTTTCGTTATCAGAAAACAATACGCATTATTTCAATCAATTCGAATACATTTTTTCTCCGGCTATTTTCGCTAACAAACCTCAACTGATCTCATACGACTCCCAACAATTTTGTGCTTTTGCCAAACAAGGAAAGTTTTATCACTCAAGGACTGGAACTTCTCGAAGCTACTAACGCCATCTTTAGCAGTCAATCAGGAAAGGAGCAAAATAACTTGCTAGCTTTCCATATCTTAAAGCAATTAATCTCTCTCATTTAGGAAGTTCAAACTATATGAAAGCGAACACAAAGTTGTCGGCGATTCTGTTCGATTTGGGACTCTTCTTCATAATGTAATTTCCTCTTATTATTTCGCTCACATCACAATCGCCAAGCGACAGAAAATCAATCAACTGCCGGCTCGTGCTGAAAATGTACCCGAAGGCTGGCCATATATGGCAGCTTGTGTGGATCAATAAACTCAGCTAGCCAGCCGATATTCTCGCTTTGAGCTGCTTCGATAGATGGCATCGATCGGGGACCCACCCTCCAACTAATTACCACAAAAAGCTGAAAACGGCACAAAAACGCCAATAGCAGTCGACAGAGAAAGACACAAGACTTCAAAACAGAAAATCGAAAATTATGTTAAAGAGAAATCAAATTAAATGCAAATCAAAAGGGTTTTTTTAAAGAGATAAGTTGAGACCTGGTGAAAGAGTAGATATGGGGCAGAAAGTTAGACAAGAACAAGAATGGAAGGATTAGTAAGGCGATTTCAACGAATATGCAAATTGATCACATACCTGGCAGGTTGACAACACGGGCACAAATATCAATTAAAGAAGCTTCGGAAGCTTTGTTACAACTTGACAAACGATCAACTTCGCTTTGAAAAGCTTTTATAAGGGGCACAGCAACTTTTCGGGTTTCCTATAACATACAGTAAGTATGGAAGGTTAATCAACGAACACAAAGGCGGGTTAATAGGAAGTACGAGATGAACGATTCAAGAAAATCGTTCGAATTAGTTATTATTACAAATCCTTTCCATGTATTTCCTTTCAAAACACAAACAAGCTTTTATTAGATAGAAAATAAGTAAATCATGCACAAATCAACAAGCTTGCTACTCGATCATGTGCCGAAACCCTCGCCCCATTATTATTTGCATCGATCGATAATGAGCCATCTGTCAACGAATTATATTCTTCGTCCCAAATTCCTTATAAGTGGAAGGAAGAAGAGAGAGAGAGAGAGAGAGAGAGAGAGAACGTCATCTGCCCAGCTATGAGAAATCGAATGCTTTTAAGGTCAGATGCTTGAAAAGCACAATTGATCAATCAATTAATGACATATAAAACCTTACAAACATGCGTATTCTCAATAGAAAACATCCTTTCTTTCTTCCCTTCACCCAAAAATACTATAAGCGCTTAGGAAAATGTTGTCTTGTTAGGCTAATAAGTGCACGATTAGCATTTAAAAAATTTAATTCTGTGATCGAATTATAAATATTATCAAATTTAACGGAAAACTTGAAAGAAGGTATGCAACGCCGCAAGGGCAAAGTAACAACTTTCAAAAAAACATTTAAAAAAACAACGGAAAGAATACAAATGAGATAACTGAACACCGTCCCATATGTCGAAACACTCACCTTTGTTGTTGCTTCTCTGTAAGCTGCACTTTCTTCCAATAAACTTTTCTTCGACACATCATCAGCATCCTGTCGGAATTCGATGGCTTTGATTTCTTCTTCGACGCGTTGCTTAAAAGGTACAAGGGAATCAGGTATACTCTTGAAACTCACTTGAAAGCTCTCCCATTCGAGTGATTCCCATGCCTTCACGATAACATCCATCCCTCCATAAACCTACAAATAGAGTATGAAGTTCAAATTCGAGCAGAAAACAATCAGTATGGGCACACGATAATCATGTTGAACTCGTGAATGAAAGAAGAATTAACAAAGCTTTATAACTATTTCCAATTGAACACATAAAAAAGACTACGCTATGAGCACCGATGTGCTTATTTACAATCTAAGACTTTGCCATAACGTATGGACAAAACTAGATAAATTAGCTTTCGGTGAAGTTGTATCTCCAATCGTTGTACTTTCTGTAATCCTTCCTCATATGGAAATCCTCAGGTAACTCTTTGAGCACCTTAGCGGCTTCGGCCTTGTAATCACGGATACGAGGTTCTTAACACTTCTTGTTTAAACGTAGAGTAGACAATACTTACGAGGAGCAGGTTCGGAGCTTTCATGAACATGAAGCCTGCTGAAATATCCCAACTTTGGACGTTCAATATTCAAATTTCCTTCGATACATTTATCTAGAACCTCTTGCTCTTTGCGACACCTCAAGTAAAAATCAGCTTAGATAGATGAAAAAAACAAAAAACTTACTTGCTGAGGTAAAGCTTAGCGCTTCCTTGATCAACACAGTTAGCAAGTTTACCAGTTTCCTGATAACATGAGATATACATCTTTTAAAAAAAGTAAATCAAACCTCTGCACAACTTCTTTTCAAAGCTTGAAGAAATTTGATTCCACATTCGGTAACAGCTTTTCCCTCTTTCAGCGTAAGACGAGGGTCTTCTAACTCTTTGCGTCTCAGCATGAACTCCTGATAAATCAAAATTACTTTGAGTTGATAAACATTCATCAAACATTGATTTGAGTCTCGCAATTTTTGGCCATGTAGGGAGCAACAGATTTGAGCCATGGTGTGGAAAGAGTGATCTCCTGAATAAATTTTCTTTCATTTCGTATATTTTTCAATGTCAGTAATAATTTTATGAAAATTTCGTGGAGTTAGAATAATTTTTCTTAATGAAAACCTGTGAAACAGAGAGCTCTTCCTCCGTTGGTAGTTTAATATCCTTTGTCAGCGCCATAACGACAACAAGGCTTCTACCCTGTAATTCAACACTTTTTGTTAGCTAATCTTGTAACACCAGTCGATTTCGAAGTTTTTCATAATTTATATGCAAAGATCAACTTAATACAATCAAAAAACTCATTAAAAATAAACAAATTACTTTGCTTTTGCCGTGCTTAAGACGTTAAAGGACCCAAGTAAAGAAGTCGTGGAAAATAGAGCGTGATAGGACCAATACTTGAAAACCTTTAAATTAAAAATTCGATCCGAGATAGTGAACCGTTTTCAGGTTGAACATTTTGAATAAATTTCATGAAATGTACTTTAAATTTGTGAAAAGAGTATTGTTTGATTTCTTTTATGTTTATTAGGTTTATGTCCTCGGGAGTGGACCCTCCATCGGTCGCATCAGGTGCTCTGGTAGTTCCCCTGATTATATGGGGAGCCAAACCTCCTGAGCATAAAATAACATGTATCAATTATCTGAGCGATTGTTCAACAATAGTAACAGGTAAATAAATGTTGATTCTTTGCGTTTTGAAGTTATTCTAATATAAGGTGGCGACAATGGACATGTTATTATATGGAAATGTACTGAAGATGCCATAAATCCCCACCAATTAATGGTGGGACACACCCAACCAATCACGGCTATTTCTACAACTAGCAAGAATTCGAAATCCACGTTTGTTTTAATTTAACTCAATCATTTCTGTTTTATTCTCGCTTATAGAAGGTTTATATCTGCTTCTGCCGACGGTCATGTCTGTTTATGGGATATTCAAGACGGAAGATGTGTTGATTCAACCGATTCTATATATGTGCATAGACAAATGGAGGCATACGTAAGTTTATATGAATTATTTCTCTTCATTTTGATGATTTTTAGACGTATAAATCTCGTCATGTACGATCAACTAAACTTTTTTGTATTGGAGACTATGCTGATTTCGTTGTAATGGACCCACAAGATTTGACAATAGTTTTCAATTTAAGTTCGCGGTAAAATGCTCTCTTTTTGTTTTTTTATTTTCTTATCTTTTTTCAGAGTTGAGCCTGATTGGATCTGTCGGTATTGTTTCGTTCAACGGCCGGGAAAACCACCCCAATGCATAGGATTATCCGCTGTTGAGATGATTAAAATTTGGTCTTTAGTGGATCTAGAAAAGAAGGTTTGACCAACGTGTTTTGAACAGTTTTAAAAAATTTTCTAGGATTTGGCTAATCCTCTGTATGAAGACGAATCAAAAAGATTAGATATCCATGATGTAAGGTCAGTGTCTTTCAATACAGTGAATGATAGAATTTTGCTTGTCGTCACGGGGTCCACTTGGCAGGTATTTTCCATTCAAAGAAATTTTTTTTAATTTGTTCTCTCGAAGATTATCGATCTTGATGATTTATCCACCTTGTTATGTTATGAATGTCCTACTGATGTTGTTAAAGGGCAAGTGATTGATATCGACAAGGCAAGTTTCGGTTTTGTGATGTCATCCATACTATTCTATGACAGGTTGCTATTGCTTACAATGACCAAACAGTTCGAGTTTATCAATTACCCCTCGAGTTTGTTTGTATTCTTATTCTATCCTAAAAACTTCTTTGCAGGCTTTTAAATGGGCCTCAGGCTCGGGAAGCTTTTGGATCATCCCCTTCCAATTATTTTGGCATCAACAAACCTTTCGAAATTGCTGTTCTTGAAGCATCCAAATCCTGCTCACTTTCGGTAAACAGTTAACTTGTAATATGTGATTCATTATTTCAATTTAAGTGGGTTTCTGATGTTTATTATGATTTTTCTCCTCAATCCAATAATCCTAACTTGTATCAAGTTGTAAGAGGAACTTGTGATGGAAAGCTTTTACTTTGGAAAATACCTGAGTACGCTGCTGAATTCATGCAGAAAATAGGAAGCAGTTCTCAACTTCCTTTGAGTATTTTGAAAATAATTTTACTTCTTTCATTACTCCGTTTTTAAGAGTATAAAGGAACTTTTGAGGAAAGTCTTGAATCGGTTTGGTCGAGCCTGATGGACGAGGAAAAAATTTCCATAATGGTTTGGAATCAACTTTAAATGAAATCAGAGTAATCGTTGCAGGATCCTGGTGTTGTAACAGCTTCTTTACTAGTTGGATCTCAAGGAAAGCTCATATTAGGACAAAAAGATGGTTTGATTACCATGAGTTATGCTTGTGAAGCTTTATCCAAACAACTCTTAAACTATGACGTTGATAAAACTACTACGCGGGTGCTGCGGGGCCATTCCGCCGCCGTCAGGTTTCTATCTTTCATTTTCGTTTTTCTGAAAAGACTATTCAGAAGCCTTTTTTATCCTCATGAACATCATAACCGTTTCGATCCTCAATTATTACTGTCGGGTAAGATTACTATTATCATTCGATGAAACCATTTGTATAATTTGAAGGCAGTGATGATTTCACAGTGATTGTTTGGAATATTAACAACGGAAATCGTTTGCACAGATTTTACGAGCACGGGGGACCTGTTTTGAGATTTGTTATTCCTCCCGTAAACTGCACTGTAAGGTTTCAGCTTATTTCTCTCTCATTTCACAAATTTTCAGAAAAATATAGCCAAGTGTGTGTGTTCTATAACAGCAGATAATACTGCATCTTTGCTCAATATCCGAGATTTTAAGTGTGCTCTTCTCGCTTCAAAACATCCTCATCCGATTAAAGATGTAAGAATTCACTTTGTTGTTCTGAGTTGATTCATTTCCAGGTAAAATGGAGACCTCTAGACGATTTTATGCTAGTAAAACTGGACGATGGAAGTGTCTATGTTTGGTCGATGGAAAGTGGTACGCGCTTTCAAAACATTCCTCAAATATTATTTTTAAACTGTTTTTAGCGAACTTGGATAGGATTGTAACAGGTTTAGTTGCTGAAGAGGTGTTGAGCGCATGTGATGAACAAATTGGTCGGGAAGAGGGATGCGATGAGGTTTTTTCTTATACATACATCTTCTACTTTTTTTTTCTAGACCGTAGCACCAAGTGCAATACTGATGATGAGAGCTCTGAAAAATAAGAGTATGGAAGCGGTAAGTATTCAAAAATATATTTTTTCTTTCATCCATTTGTTGTAGTTTAAACAAACCATGACTGCGTCTAATGAATCGCGGAAAATCACCGACAACCAAATCTATGAAGTTAGCTCTCCAATACAAGTAGATGCTCTACCTGGTTGTGAGCAAGGCGCGCACTTAATCCAATTCGAGGTTTTTTCAGTTTTCAATAGTTCTAACCAATAATTTGATTGAAGGTTGGAGCTCTGGTTGCTGGTTTATTAAATGTTGATGCATCTGAGTTTGCTGATGGCTCATATACAGACAAAAACGAAGAAAATGGTTTAGCAGGCATTAATAGGTTCGTGTTCCTCATTTCGAACTTCTATACATTTTTAATCTAGACGAGTAGCGTGGCAGTTCGAAGCAAACCTTTGTTCTGATGTCGCTCGATTGATGCTATCTCTTCTCCATGGCTGGAACCTGGATGAAGATTTAGATAGCATTTGTAGTAAAAAATTAGGGCTCAGTAAGCCTCGTCATCAGCTATATTTCGGTAATATTTCCCGACACGGTCAGTTCTCAATTGTTTTTCGGTTGTAATTGATTTGTTCAGGTCAATTGGCTGTAGCTTTGCCTCAGAAATCTCATTTACCATACGATTCGTTTTCGATTAATGTGAGGTGGCAAGCTAGTCATTCTTTGACGACTACTCACTTACTCGCTGTTATTGCAACCGCTAACACTTTGATGGGCATGAAAAACTTATTTATAAGGTATGTTTACTCTTCTTTCTGATACACATAACGGTTGCATTCATGTAGAATTTACAACTAACCACCTTTTTGCAGAAATCGTAAAACATCGTTGTCATCCAACAATCTTCAACGTCAGTCTTCGAAGGAAACCATATCCTCAGAAAAACAACAGCTGAAACAGGGTTGGAGTCTAGTTGCTGCACTACATTGTGTTCTTTTACCTGATCACGTTAAACCTAAGAGCTCTTATGCTGCACCGAGAATTGAGCTTTTAGCTCGAAGGTAAGATTGTTTTCTGAAAAGGTTCTCTAAAGTATTTCTTCAGATGGCAGGATAGTTCAATGGAAATCCGAATAGCTGCTCAAGCGCTTCTTGTACGTGAACTGGCTAGATTGGGAGCACCTGGACGGCGGAAGCTGATAGAGTCTTGGGCACCGTTTCTACCACCACTTTTGGATCCAAGTCTGTCCATATTCGGTAATTGTTAGGAAATGTAACTTGTTATACTAGTTTTTTCATAGGCGCCCGTCTCCAATCGTCTATCCCGAACGTACCTCCTGCTGCTCCTCCTATACCACCGAGAAGCAAGTCTTCGCCTCCAACTGTTGCTCCTGTTCCTGGTAATACTTTTTTTTTATTTATCGGCATAAACTTATCTCCAAGAACCTGCAACCGGTGACGATGGAGAATCTGGAGTACAGCAAGTTCGACGCAATCAAGCCACGGCAATTATTCTCCTGGGTGTGGTCGGAGCAGAGTTCGGTGATGAACTTTATAGGTTATTATTCCATGCTGTTTCGAATGTTTTACTTTTTTTACAGAGCCGATCTAACAAGGGCCACTGCTTTATCTCTTCTAGAGTTGTTAGTAGCTGCTCCTTCTGCTCTCCTCCCAGTGCATTCACCACTCCGACGAGCTGCAATAGATTTATTGGGGAAAGGGTATGTTTTATTCATTATTATAATTAATATTGTTGTTGGGTGTTTAGAATAGTATACTGGCAACCTCATTTGGAGATATCAAAAGTGTTGTTAGGATTACTGGATTTGGCAGCCAACTCAGACAAACAACCAATGTATGCATTTTTGTAACTACTACCCATAAAGTCAAATTCTTCTAGGCCTTCTATGGTTGGAACTCCTCTCTCTCCTATTGCAGATGCTTGTCGAACAGCTCGCCATGCTTTATCGTTGATAGCAAACGCTCGCGCACCAGCTCTTTTAACAGCTCTTTCTATGGAGGTTTGTGTATACCCGATTTTCGTGTTTTAACCCCTCGATTCAGGTCGCAAGGTATAACTCAGCCGCTCAACACCAGACTATCCAGCACACTGTAGTCAGTCCTCTTTTGAAGTCTCGTTCTGAGGTATTTGCATTCATAAATTTCATCAAATTTTTATTGGTTGAAGGTTCTTCGAATAATAGCAGAACTTTCTGAGAAAAAGTTCAATGAAGTAGTTGACTTGATGACGTCAGTTGGTGAAATCCTTGTGCATTGCTTAGACATCTCCATGTTGAGACACAAGTCATTAGCGGAGATTTTCCCGGCTATTGCCAAGTAAGTATTCAATCAATTTGAATAATTTATTTGCATAGATTTCCCATGGTGTCCTATTGTTCTGTCACACGGCGCATTGCCTTTGGTGGATCGAATGGTTACTGCGTTGTTCATGAGCTGAGAGCTTCGAAAACTCATGTAAAATTATCGTTCTAATATATATTATATTCTCTCTATTCAGAACTTACAATGTCATTCGGGACCAATAAGTGCAGTGGCGTTCTCAGATGATGGAAAGTATTTAGCAACATATGGGGCTTCAGATGGAAAAGTTGTGTTTTTCCAAACTAGTCAGACATTCCTGGTTTGTTAAACATGAGAGTACGAAGCAACATAATCATACTTCAGGGTATCGGACAAAATCAGATGAAACTGGTCAAGAGCCAGCCAGCTCCTTCGTGTATGGTGTTAACATCCCCCACCGGACAAACATTCCGTCCAAAGTTAGTTTGGATCAACTCGAAATCAATTGCTCTCATGATGCCGGAAGGTAAAGAACAAAGGTTCACTGTTTAATTTCACTTCACTTTCAAAACTGTTCGCTTCATTTCATTCTTTTTCACTTAACTTATGATTCTAATTTATTGATCTTGTAGATATTATTGTCAAACTGTTCACATCCATGTCATAATAACCAAGTGTTCTAGAGCCATTTCATAGTATTTATATAGTATCAAAAAATATTTATTATATTTGTATATTATGTATAATTCTAGTCTATTTTTCAACACATTCCATCCCCAAACGGTGTTGTAAAAATATCGTCCGAACTTTTATAGCTTAATAAAATTCTAATCAAAAATAAGTTTTTTCTTTGAATTACTAATACAGAAAGGCAAAATCTAAGTTTTTATGAAAATATGTGTCATAATCCCTGCCTGTGTTTCTGTATACTTTACAAAACTTTGGTTTCGTAGCCTCGTTAGCTCAGTTTGGTAGAGCGTTAGACTTTTAATCTAACGGTCAGGGGTTCGAGCCCCCTACGGGGCTAAGTTTTTGCAAAAGG